TCCGCTCTCTCTGTCTCTCTCTCTGTCTGCTCTCTGTCTCTCTCTCTGTCTGTCTGTGTCATGTATTGTATGTCACAATTGCAGGATGCTGGGCACACGCGCGCCCCGAATAAGTGACCAAGTTCTGTGGGTGTGTACCCCACGCCAGTGTAGTAGCCACGGTCGTCCGCACGCCACGAAGTGAAGTGTCCCAACGTCATAGGGCGGGAAGCTGGGTTTGGGTGGTCGCGAAGAGTCGTTTGGATATTTGGTAGAGCTTGAACTGCCCCCCCACGAAGTGGGGGTATTGTCTCGCGTCGCATGAAAACCCTGGCACTGGTGAGAACACTGAGCGTTCGGGTAAAATGATTGTTGTTGTTGTTGTTGTTGTTGTTGTTGGTTGTTGGTTGTTGGTTGTTGGTTGTTGATTGTTGATTGTTGTTTGTTGTTTGTTGTTTGTTGTTTGTTGTTGTCGTCGTCCCACCCGCGACCCGCCTCACGACCCACCCGCGACCCACCCCGCGACCCACCCGCGACCCACCCGCGACCCACCCCCCCTGGCGCGCGCGCGCGCGCTCCGCGGAGGAGGGGAGGAGGAGCAGGGCGAGGAGCAGGAGGCAGACGACTACGACGACGACGACGACGACGACGACGACGACGACGACGACGACGACGACGAGTACGAGGACGAAGAGGAGGCCGACGACGAGGGCGAGGAGGAAAAGGAGGGGGGGACGGAGGGGGACGACGAGAAAGGAGGGAGGAGGAGGGGGAGGAGGAGGATGAGGACGACGACGGAAAGGAGGCGGGGGGAGGATCGGGATGGGGGAGGAAGAGGAGGAGGAGGAGGAGGAGGAGGAAAAGGAGGAAGAGGAGGAGGAGGTGGACGACGACGACGACGATGAGGACGATGACGCGGACGAGGAAGAGGAGGAGGAGGAGGAGGAGGAGGAGGAGGGCGCCATCGACAGGGAAGGTGGGGGCCACGAGGTCCGCCGGCTCGACGCCCGCGTCGCCCGCGCCCGCCCCCCCACTCTTATGCGCAATTGCGGGGTGCTACGTACGGATACATCTCAGCATCAGATCGCTAGATCGGGTGCGACCTCACGGAGCCCTGCCAAGCTCTGCAGTGCCTTTGGATTACAACCTACCCTAGCGATAGTAAATCTCGGGACGAGAGGTGGGGGCATATCCTCAAACCAACGTAGGCGCCCCCAAGTGCCCAGTGTCCCTCGATCCACAAATCAAGACAGACCCAATGGGCATGCGCTGCGAGAGAGATGTCTTTTTCTCAGCAGATGAGGCTGTGCGGCAGTCCAGCTCCTCGTCTCCTTGACCTCCCCTCCACCCGTGTTCACCTCCCTCCTTCGCCCACGTTCTCCTCCCCAGATTTTCGTCGGCGGCACGTTGCGACCGGAAGAGAAGCATGAAAAAGCAAAAGCACACACTTTCGGAGGTCCGAGAGAGCTCGCCCACAGGGGGGGGTCCCCCCTTAGCTATCCCCCCCCTCCCTTCCACCTCCCCTGCTGTAAGCTCCCCCCCCCCCTCCCCCCCTTTTTCGCCTTCCCCCTGAAGCTACCTCCGCCCCCTTCTCCACTCCGAAGCTACCCCTCCCTCCCCCCCTTTCCAAAGGGAGGGGGGGGCTTGGCTACCCCCATTCTCCCCTTGACCCCCCTCTGCCGGAAGCTACCCCCCCCTCCCCCCCGTACGAAAGGGGAGAGGAGCTTAGCTACCCCCCCCCTCCTTTGACCCCCTCTGCCGGAAGCCCGCCCCCCCCTCCCTCCATTTTTCTCCCCCCTGCTGGAAGCACCCCTCCCCTCCCCACCTTTCGAAAAGGGGAGGGGCGGCTTAACTACCACCCCCCTCCCTTGAACTCCCCCTGCCAGACGATCCTCCCCCGTCGCCGTCGTCGTTGCCGTCGCCGTCGCTCGACGTCATCGTCGCCGTCTTCGTACGACAACGTCGTGGTCGTCACGACGAGGACGAGGTCATACGAAGACGGCGACGGACGACGGACGACGCACGACCGACGACCGACGACAACGACGACCCAGGGTCAGAGAAAACGAGACCATGACCCAGGGGCTGAGAAAACTAGAAAACGCAGCAGGGTCAGAGAAAACGAAAAAAACGAGAAAACGAACCAGGGTCCGAAAAAACAAACCAGGGTCCGAGAAAACGAGACCACGACCCAGGGGCAAAGAAAACGCGAAAACGAACCAGGGTCCGAGAAAACGAGACCACGACCCAGGGGCTGACAAAACGAGACAGCGAGAAAACAAACCAGTGCCCAAGAAAACGAGACCACGACCCAGGGGCCGAGAAAACGAGACCACGAGAAAACTAACCAGGGCCAGAGAAAGTGAGAACACGACCCAAGGGCCGAGAAAACGAGAAAACGAGAAAACAAACCAGGGCCCGAGAAAACGAAACACAAACCCAGAAGCCGAGAAAACTAGAAAACGAGACAATGAACCAGGGTCCGAGAAACCGAGATAACGACCCAGGGAATGAGAACACGAGAAATCGAGAAAACGAACCAAGGTCCGAGCAAACGAGCCCACGACCCACGAACCAAGGTCCGAGAAAACGCCAATACCGGTCCGAGAAAACGAGACCACGATCCAGGGGCCAAGAAAACGAGAAAACGAACCAGGGTTCGAGAAAAAGAGACTACGACCCAGGGGCCGAAAAACAAGAACACGAAAAACAAACCAGCGTCCGAGAAAACGAGACCACGACCCAGGGGCCGAGAAAACAAGAAAACGAGAAAACGAATCTGGGTCCAAGAAAACTGGATCACGACCCAGGGGCCGAGAAAACAAGAAATGAAAACACGAATCAGGGTCGGAAAAAACGAGACCACGACCCAGTGGCAGAGAAAACGAGAAAACGAGAAATGAACCAGGGTCAGAGAAAACCAAACCACGACCCAGGGACAGAGAAAACGAGAAAACGAACCATGGTCCGAGAAAACCAAGCCACGACCCAGGGGCAGAGAAAACGAGAAAACAAGACAACGAACCAGCGCCCGAGAAAGCGAAACAAAAACCCAAGGGCCGAGAAAACGAGAAAACGAACCAGGGCCCGAGAAACCGAGACCACAACCCAGGGGCCGAGAACACGAGAAAACCAAAAAACTAACCAGGGTCCAAGGGAAAATGAGACCACGACCTAGGGGCCGAGAAAACAAGAAAACGAGACCACGAACCAGGGACCGAAAAACTAGAAAACGAGACAACGAACCAGGGTCAGAGAAAACGTGATCACGACCGAGGGGCTGAGAACACGAGAAAACAAAGAAGCTAACCAAAGTCCGAGCTAACGAGACCACGACTCAAGGGCACAGAAAACGCGAAAACGAACCAGGGCCAGAGAAAACACGACCAGGGCCGAGAAAACGAGAAAACGATTAAAGGAATCAGGGCACGAGAAAACGAGACTATGAATTGGGGACCGGGAAAACAAGAAAACGAGAAAACGAACCAGGGTCAGAGAAAACGAGACCACGACACAGGGGCCGAGAAAACAAAAAACGAGAAAACGAACCAGGCCCCGAGAAAACAAAACCACGACCCAAGGCCCGAGGAAACGAGAAAACGCGAAAACGACCCACGACCCAGGGGCCGAGAAAACGAGAAAACGAGAAAACTAACCAGGGTCCGACGAAACCACGACCCAAGGGCCGAGATCACCAGAAAACGCTGGTCCGAGAAAACGAGACCACGAGGCAACGAGAGAACGAGAATACTAACCAGCGTCCAAAAAAACCTGCGCGGACGCGGGCAGGGGACCACCCTGACTCAGGATCCGCTTTACTTTGGGCCAGTTCATACGTCATGCAGAAGCTCCTGCCCTACTCTTCACGCTCCTTTGATGCCGATTTCCGCCCTGCTTTGCTGCCGCTGCCGTTGCGGAACTAGCTGCCCTACTTTTCTGAGGCGGAAACTTCCTCCCCACATCTTCTTTTATGTTAGAGGAATTTCCAATTGCATCTTTAAGACAGAAGATCAACCAAAGACGGATCCGCCCCTCCGCCTCGCGACAGCACCATGCGACACCGAGTCGGCTATGCGACGAGGATCGGCACACATGCGACGCCAGATGCTGCTTGCGTTAAGTCGGGCGTGTCCTCCTACAGGGAGCTTTTGGGCGAAAAATAAAAATACCCAAAAAATCCCCCCAAATGGTCAAAAATTCTTAAAAAGAGTCCCCTGACCATTTTTTGATTATTGTTTGACTATTTTGGGGGTATCTTTTATTTTTCGTCGAAAATCCCCCTGTAGGGGGACAGGCCCGACTTAAGACGAGGATCGGCGCACATGCGACGCCAAATGCTACCCGCGACGCAGAACGGTATGCGCAGAGCGCGGCGCGGAGCACCCGGCATCGGAGAGCCTCCACGGGGGGGGGCCGGGCTGGCGGCCAGTCCACGGGGGGGTGGCGCGAGAGGGGGGGGGGCATGCCTGGAATGCTCTACGCAGAAGGAATCCATACACCACCACCGTGCCAAGCCAGGGCCATCATGGCCCTGGCATGGTGTATACGCCCTCCTGGCCGAGGCCAGGAGGGTCTATACACCATCCCAGGGCCCAGGATGGCCCTGGCCTGGCACGGTGATGGTGTATAGATGCCTTCGTCGGATGCTCCTGTGGAAGCAAGGGCCTGCACGGCAGTGGCCTGGGCGGCAGGAGCAGAAGGAGACGCAGTCGAAGCAGAGGTGGAAACAACCCCAGCAGCAGCGGCAGCAGCAGAACCGGCAGCAAGCTAGAGTGCCCATACATTCCCACCATTCCACATTACGGCGCTCACACTGCAGCGTTTTGAAGAAGAACCGCTGCTTACTCGCAGGACGGTCCACACCTACAAGCGCGAGCCCCAGGCCAGAACAAGCTGGGCCGCAAGGTGATCTAAATCTACAAGCGCGGGCCCCTAGCCATAACAAGCCAAGGCGAAAAACCCTTCCGTGCACCTCATGGGCAGCCGCATGGAACTGGCGATACGCTCACTTGCATGGCAGCTTAAGGCTTCTTCGCGGCGATAAGCGGCTCGGTCTCGTCGAGGCCCTTCTTGGTGCCGAGCGAAGCCCCAGGATAGGGCCCCCAGCCCACACCGAGCATCCTCTCGAAGCTGCCCACAAGCTGGTGATTGGGAAACTTCGTCATGAATGACCAGAAAAAGACGCCGCTCAGGGTCACGGTAAAGCTGACCCACTGCTTCATGGTAATCATGTCGTGAAAGGCGACAGAGGAAAACACCACCAGGCAGATGTCCTTGACGACGCCTGTAATAATGAAGCCGACGGCGGAGGTCTCCTTGATGACTTGCGCAATCGTGATATTGAGACAGAAGGCGATGCAAGCGTTGGGGATGAGGTACGGCCACCACACCGCCAAATCTTCAATGACAGAATGCTCCCAGATGATAGCGTTGCCGATGATGAGCACCAGGAGGCAGACGGGCGCCATGAACATCGTGTAGCTCAAGGGGTCGAGCTTGAAATCGTTACCCGTCAGCACGAGCTCGGCAATCACAGCACGCATGCATTCCGCAAACTGCGAAAAGCCCTGAATCAAGAACCCGATGAACACGAAGTTCAATTCGCCTCTCCCATCCTTAGCCTCACCTCCATCCTCCTCCATCCTCCCTCCTATCCCTCCTCCATCCTCCCTCCTATCCCTCCTATCCCTCCTCCTCATCCTCCTCCTCGTCCTCTTCCTCTTCCTCTTCCTCCTCCTCCTCCTCCTCCTCCTTTCCCCCGTCCCCTCCACTTGCCGGACACGCACAGGCTGGACCCGAGGATGACCCACCCGATGACGAAGGTTCGCTGGCGGTTGACGACCTGGAGGCCGCACATGGCGGAGAAGAGGAAGACGAGCACCACGTTCGCCTCCTTCATGAACTGCAAGAACGCCACGCTGCAGTAAAGGTACGCCTTGTTGGAGCCGTACAGCATGACGGCGAAGAGAATCCCGATAGGAACGAGGTACTTGTAGAGCTGCATCACCTCAGAGCAGGAGAAGAACAAGTACCGGCATCAACATACCATCTCGGAGGTCCGCGTGGATCTCTAGGATCGGCGCTGTCTCCGCTCCCTGGCGCGCGGAGCGCGACAGGGGCGGCGCAGTAAGCGCCGCCAGGGCGATCCCAAAACTCCGCGCGGACCTCGAAAAAACAATGTTCACGCAAACAGATCTTCTTCAACTCAGAAGCTGCATCCGAGGAGAAGGAGGAGGAGGACGAGGAGGAGGAGGAGAAGGAGAAGGAGAAGGAGGAGGAGGAGGAGGAGGAGAAGAGGAAGGAGGGGCAGGAGGGGAGGGAGGAGGAGGAGGAGGAGGAAAAGGGGGAGGAGGGGAGAGGATGAGGAGGAGGAGGGGGAGGAGGAGAGGAGGAGGAGGAGGAGGAGGAGGAGGAGGAGGAGGAGGAGGAGGGAGGAGGAGAAGGAGGAGGAGGAGGAGGGGGAGGAGGAGGAGGAGGAGGAGGAGGAGGAGGAGGAGAAGGAGGAGGAGGAGGAGGAGGAGGAGGAGGAGGAGGAGGAGGAGGAGGAGGAGGAGGAGGAGGAGGAAGAAGACTCCGCCACTAGGAGGAGGAGAGCGTGGAGGATGGAGGAGCAGGAGGAAAAGAGGCAGGGAGGCAGGGAAGGGGAGGAGAGGCCGATCCCGCCCGACCCCGATCGTCCTCGGCCCGGCCCTGGCCGTGCCCGCCGCCCTGCGCGCCGCGAGGCTGCCCGAGGCCGACTGCCCCGCCCGACCGCGCCGACCGCAACGGCAGGGCCGGGGGCCCGAGCGGGCCCTGTAGGGGGCCACAAGCGAACCCTACCCCTACCGCGCCGCCGCGCTGGTTGCCGGCACTCGTCGTCGTCGTCGTCGTCGTCGTCGTCGTCGTCGTCGTCGTCGTCGTCGTCGTCGTCGTCGTCGTCGTCGTCGTCGTCGTCTTGTAAGTAGTCGTCGCTCGTCGTTGTCGCCGCCACCGCGGCTGTTCGTCGTCGTCGTCGCCATCGCCGCCGCCGAAGCCGTTCTAGGGGGCCGCATGCGAACCCTACCCCTGCCCCCCACGATTTCTGAGGGGGAGGGTGGGGTTCACTTCAATTCGGCAGGGCACGAGCGAGGTGGACCCCCACTCAAAGATCGTGGGGGGCAGGGGTAGGGTTCGCTTGTGGCCCCCTACCCTGGATCGACAGCTCGGGCGCTGCCCAAAGAGTTCTGGACGCCCGACATGGGCACGGAAAGAATCGGTACACTGCCCAACAACAAAAATGCTGTCCCAGACCAACAGCGGCCGCTGTGGGGCAGGCGGCCCTGTCTCAAGTGTACACAGGCCGCGGCGGCACCGACAGCGAGTCCGGTTCAGAATGAGCAAGAACTGCTGTTGGGCATTGTACCCATTCTTTCCGTACCCATGTCGGGCGTCCAAGAAGATGCTCGCGTCGCGAAAAAATTGCGACGGGCCGTCCTTAGCCGGTTTCGGCCTCCCAGGACCCTCGCCGTGTCCCGGGACCTGGGGCTGTCAAAAAACGGCCCGGGATGCAACACCGGGCCCTGGGACCAGGGAAGGGGTCGGGACTTCTGGGAACCGCGTCCTGGGAAAATCAAGACATCGCATGTCTGGGCTCTGAGTGCATGGCCTTCCCCTTGCACTTCTCGACCCCAGGCATCGCCGACGGCCTCACCGGCAGCGCCAGGGAGGCTCCAACTCGTTCTCCTGTTCACCCTCCTGCTCGTCCACCACCTCTTCCTCCAATGTGCACAGCTCTCCATGTCCGATTGCGCATGACACGACAGGACCCTTTTGGGACTTCCAGGTCTGCTATGGCACGCGTCGGCGGATAGATAAAGCAATGGAACGGGATTCGTGGCAGGGGTAGGATGTCAGATTTGGCGCGAGCTCACCTACCTTGTCGTCCTCCCCTCGCTCCTCCTCCTCCTCCTCCTCCTCCTCCTCCTCCTCCTCCTCCTCCTCCTCCTCCCCGTCCTCCTCCCCGTCCTCCTCCCCGTCCTCCTCCTCCTCCTCCTCCTCCTCCTCCTCCCTCCTCCTCCTCCTCCTCCTCCTCCTCCTCCTCCCCCTGCAGGTGCTGCTCTTTTTCTGCCCCTTGAAGAAAGGGAGGGCGGCAGTTCCTTTCTGGAAACCGAGCTCTCGCATGGGACGTCTTTCAACATTCCAACGGCAAAGCCTGTAATTGAGGGCTCCTACTTTTCGGCCAGATTCCGGCCGCTGCCGCAATAAGGTCTGTTGACGGTGGTGGGTTCAGCAGCTTGTGGCAAGTGCCGCGAGGTCCTGGCCGTATAGCCGCTGGGGGACCACACACAACTGGTCGTGGTCCATAGCGCTGTTTGTCGGCTTCCGCCAGTTGCAGCCATAGGGTCCCATGGGGCTCTGGCCGTTGCCACCGTGGCGTTCTGCACACACACACACACACACACACACACACACACGCACATCGGGCTCCACACACGTGGGGTTCCACGCGTATGTGGGGTCTCCCCATGGGGTTCCAGAGTTCTACCAGTAGGGTCCACACACACACTGTGCGTTCCACGCCTAAGGGCTCCAGACGCTCCACACGCACACATTCACATAAGGCAGAACATGCATAAGGCAGCTCATGCCTTCAAACGCGGAGTCTTCTGGATATGTGGCTCCACAGATGAGGTTCCACGCGCATGTGTTCCGCCTGTATTGGATATGACGTGCTGGGCTCCACACGTATTGAATTCCACGGAAATGATTGCACACATAGGGCTTGCTCCTGTCTCACTGTTCGAGGTCCGCGCGCCAGGACAAAGTATGATGATTTTGATAGTTGGAAGTTCCAACCACTGCATAAGATGACGGTAGCCCATTTAAAATATTCGGACTCAAGCTCGAGGCTTCCTTGGATCTGCGGATCCCGAAGCTTGACATTACCAAGGCAGAGATGAGAGATGCCTCTTCCCAATGTTAGATTTATCCCCCGTGCTTCTAGACGCACTTTTATACCAAGGCTTGATATCTCCAAATCAACACACACACAAACACATTGAGGCCAGTGCAGTCTCAAAAGTGTGCCCTCAACCCAGCGTCACGCACATCTGGACTCAGGCTTCTGGCAGCTACACAGATGGAGAGCGAGTCCCTCGCGATCAACTGGTGCCGTGCAGCATGGCACGATTCCGCGCGTGTGACAACACAGGGGCGACTCCCGAAACCCTGCGCCCAGACGTGCCGACGCCTCACTCTCGCTTCCCCCGCCTTCCCCCGACCTTCCGTTAGGTCGGGCCTGTCCCCCTACAGGGGGGATTTTGGACGAAGAATAAAAAAAAACACAAAAAATGCTCAAAAGATGCCCCAAAATACCCCAAAAATAGTCCCCAGGCTATTTTTGGACTATCTTTGAATACCCTCCTTGTAGAGGGACAGGCCCGACCTAACCCTGCGCCCAGACGTGCCGACGCCTCCCTCTCGCTCCCCCCGCCTCCCCCCGACCTTCCGCCCGCGGACGCGGAACTATGCAAGGAGGGGAGGAAGGAGGGAGAGGAGGAGACTCGGCGAGGAGGGGAGGAAGGAGGGAGGGAGGGAGGAGGGGAGGAAGGAGGGAGGGAGGGAGGGAGGAGGGAGGGAGGAGGAGGAGGAGGGAGGGAGGGAGGGATGGAGGGAGGGAGGGAGGGAGGATGAGGGAGGAGGAGGGAGGGAGGGAGGGAGGGAGGGAGGGAGGGAGGGAGGGAGGGGAGGGAGGACGAGGGGAGGGAGGGAGGAAGGAAGGAAGGCGACTCCCGAAACCTGCGCCCAGACGTGCCGACGCCTCCCTCTCGCTCCCCCCCGCCTTCCCCCGACCCTTCCGCCGGCGGACCCGCCGCCCCTCCGCCCTCCTCCTCCTCCCTCCTCCCTCCTCCTCTCCTCCTCCTCCTCCTCCTCCTCCTCCCTCCTCCTCCTCCTCCTCCTCTCCTCCTCCCCCTCCTCCTCCTCCCTCCCCCTCTCTCTCCTCCTCCTCTCCTCCTCTCCCTCCTCCTCCTCCTCCTCTCCTCCTCCTCCTCCTCCTCCTACCTCTCCTCTCTCCTCCTCCTCCTCCTCCTCCTCCTCTCCTCCTCCTCCTCCTCCTCCTCCTCCTCCTCCTCCTCCTCCTCCTCCTCCTCCTCCTCCTCCTCCTCCTCCATCCCTCCGCACTCACGGTCACCGCTGCTTCGGTCGGCCGCCTCGGCCCGCCGGGCGCGGAATGATTCCACACGTCTGAGCGCTTTCCGCTCCCTCTCTCCCCCCGCGCCGCCGCTCTCGCCGTGCTCCCCCCCTCCTGTACGCTGGCCAATAATCGGGTCGGGCGAAAGGGGGGGATAACAAAGGGGGGTTTGAGAATCAGCTCACGTAGCTGATTTTTTCGGCGCCTCCAGGCGCCGGAGGCGGCCATGTATCGAGGAATGGGCACCTCGGTGAGGCCGAAACCAGCTGCATGCAGCAAATTTCGTAATCCCCCCTTTCCCAATCCCCCCCTTTCGCCCGGCCCGAAATTAGCCTTTCGGTTGCCCCGAACTGCCACACGCTGGAGCGGACTGCCTCTGCCTCGCCGCCGACGACAAAAAGCTGTCCATCTCCCTCTGCGCCTTCCTGCCCCCCTTTGACGTCCGCCTAGAGGAGGAATAAGAGTGGAAGGAGGAGGAGGAGGAGAAGGAGGAGGAGGAGGGGGAGGAGGACGAGGGAAAATGGAGCGGGAGGGTCAGAGGAGAAGCATTTTTCGATGGCTCTGGGCCTCACAAGGTACGTGAGGGAGGTAAGGACCATGCTAGCGAGCATGTGGACGGCCGTCAGGAACATCGGGTGCGGGAAGCGGCCCTTGTGCATGAGGTATCTGCGCAGGGGAGCTAGCTGGGGTAGCGAGGAGGAGGAGGAGGAGGAGGAGGAGGAGGAGGAGAAGGAGGAGAACGAGGAGGAGGAGGAGGAGGAGGAGGACGAGGAGGAGGAGAAGGAGGAGGAGGATGAGGAGGCGGAGGAGGAGGAGACGAGGAGGAGGAAGAGGAAGAGGAGGAGGAGGAGGACGAGGAGGAGGAGGAGGACGAGGAGAGGAGGACGAGGAGGAGGAGGAGGAGGGGTGTGGGCTGGAGGTGCCAGGGGAAGCGGGAGAGGGGGACAAGGGAGAAGACGAGCGAAAGAGGATCGGGAGAGGGGGGCAAGGGACGGGAGGAGGACCAGGAGAGGGAAGGCGGGGGAGAGAGGGTGAGGGATGGGAGGAGGCGGAAGCGGGTGCAGGGGAGGATGCGGGGGGGCGGGGAAGGGTCAGGTGGAGGCGCTCTTGTGCAAGGAGCACTTGTTGAAGTTGATCAGGCCTCCGCTGAGGAGAATGTACACCGCGCACAGGGTGCCCGTCCGCAGCGCCTGCATGCCGTCGGCGCTCATCTTGCAGCACGGGCGGGCAAGGTAGAGTACAAAAACAGTGTGGATGTCTGGCCCAGATGGGGCTCGGCCAGGGCTCTGAACGGCTGCGGGGCAAAGAGTTGTCTGCGCTGGTGGGTTCGCTCCTCTTCATGCGAAGGGGGGTGGGGAGAGGACGACGAGGAAACGCAGAAGCAGGGCGAGGGGGATATGGCAGAGGACGGACAGGAGCGATATGATACTGATACTGATGATGCTGATGATGCTGCTGCTGATGCTGATGATGTTGTTGCTTGTGATGCTGATGAGAATGATGACGAGGAGGAGGAGGAGGAGGAGGAGGAGGAGGAGGAGGAGGAGGAGGAGGAGGAGGAGGGGGAGAGAATAGGAAGATGAGGCTGAGGAGGAGGAGGAGGAGCAGTAGAAAAGGGAGGAGTGGGAGGAGACGAAGAAGGAGGAGAGGAAGGAGGCGAAGGCGGGACATCGCCGCCAGCCTCACCCTCGATGCTACGTACCGTTAGATCAATATTATCGTTCTTTCCCCCCTGCCGGATCCTCCCCCTTGCGATGCTCCCTGCTCCCCCTATGGATCCTCTTTCTTGCTCTCTCTCTCTCACGCTCTCTCTCTCTCTCTCTCGTTCTCTATTTCTTGCTTGCTCTTTCTCTCTTTCTTGACCTCTCTCTCTCTCTTTCTCTCTTTATTGCTCTCTCTCTCTCTCTTTCTTGCTCTCTCTCTCTCTCTCACGCTCTCTGGATCATCCCTCCATCTGTTTTCCGCGTGCTCCTCCCACGTCTCTCTCTCTCTCTCTCGTGGTCTCTGCCTGTCTGCCTGCCTGTCTCTGTCTCTCTCCCCATCTCTCTCTCCCTGGGCCCTGACCCCCTTCCCCCTGCAGAAGGGAAGGCTCGGGGGGCGAACGGACCCTGGAGTTGAGTCGGGCGTGTCCCCCTACAGGGGGATTTTCCACGAAAAATAAAAAACACTCAAACAAAAAACTCCAAGATGGTCAACAAAAAAATAGTCCCCCGACTATGTGTTGCCTATCTTTGAACATCCCCCCGTAGAGGGACACGCCCGACTTAGCCCTGAAGCCCGAGAGAGGAAGAGCCTCGCCCCTCGGGCGGCGCCTCTGGCGCCGATCCTGGCGCGCTCCGCGTGCCAGGCAGGGGGAGGTCCGGCGCCGACCCGAGAGACCCGCACAGAAGAGGGCTTAGTCTAACCGTGAGGAAAAATAGCACGCAAAACAATACGTAAAAACGGCACGTAAACGTGAGAAGAGAACGAACGAAGCAGCCATACGCAAAGCGCGCGCGGGCAAGACAATTGGCGAGCGTGCGAGCTACGCCAAACGCGTTAGCTGGCGGACAGGAGGCGCCAAACGCGCGACAACACGTAAAAACAGCACGTAAAAGTCCGAACACCTCTGTCTGCGCCGTCGCCTTCTTCCTCGACGCCCTCCGCGCGCTCTCCCGGGCGATGTCGGTGGCCCGAATCTCGGCGCCCGGTAGAGGAGGAGGAGGAGGAGGAGGAGGAGGAGGAGGAGGAGGAGGAGGAGGAGGAGGAGGAGGAGGAGGAGGATCTCGGCAGAAGGCTCTCCCGACAAGCTGGGAGCAAGCCTGGGGTAGAGGGGCCTCCGAACCCCGTGCTTGCCGGCCTTATGATGCATCCTCGGGGGACCTTGTCTGTCCCATCGCGGCCCTGTCCGCGTCGAATCCGTGTCGAATCCACGTCGGACGCGTCGGATCCGTGTCGAATCCGTGTCGAATCCGCGTCGAATCCACGCCAAAATCCGCGTCGAGTCCGCATCGAGCACGCGTCGGGCCCCCAAAAAGACACCAATTTTTGGGACAGGCGAGGTCCCCCGAAGATGCAACAGAACCGGCCCTGTCTGAAAGCGCGTTAAGTTGCTGCGCACTCTGTCGAGCATCAGTGCCGTGCATGGACCACTTTGCGTCGGGCGATTGCATCAAGTCTGCTGCGGGGGGGGCACTAGTCCCGGAGCAGACGGTCCACGTATTCGCTTCTCTGGGCAGCCTCGCCGAAGACATGGACCTGCATACCTGCATTGCTCCCCTCACGGGCAGGTGATTTGCCCCCATCGTCGCCCCCCCCCTCCCCGCCACCAGGGTTCGGTCGTTGCTTATCCGCCACCGTGCCTCTGGGCATTGAGTGGGCGTGTCCTGAAGCCTTAATCCTCTCTCCGAAAGTGAAGGGGCCCCAGGACACACAAATAAATACACACAAATAAAAAAGATGCCCCATATTTTCCCAAATTTTCTGGGTTTTTGTCCGTCCCCCCCACTTCCCATATTTTCCTATATTTTCTTAGGAATCGAAGATTAATTGTGTCTGTGTGTTTCTTGTCCTGCTGATAAAGAGCCTCTCAAGGGCCTGGGCGGGCTTCCCTCGCTGCCCCTGGGCCCCCACGCATCTTGTCGCGTGATTTGTTCGGGCCCTAGTGGGCCCTGGAAACGACAGATCCGTTTTGTTACCGGCTCCGTTTTGCCGTTTTTTTGCCGGTTCCGTTCTGCCGTTGTTTTACCGGTTCCGTCGCCGTTTTTCGACCAGTTCTGACTCTGGCTCCAACCCTGGAGCCGTTTTTTTGCCGTTCCCGTTTGCCGTTTCTTTGCCGCTTCCATCTTCAAGGGGCACTTTTTTGGAAACGGTGACAAAACGGCCCTGCCGTTTCCGGGGCCCACAAAGCCCTCGTTGCCCCTGGGCCCCACACGCATCTTGTCGCGCGATGTGTTCGGGCCCCAGAGGGCCCCAAGACGGGCCAGGAGAGCCTCGCGAGGAGGCCCCAGCTCGCCATCGCTCGGACGTCCACTTCCTGTGTTTTTTTCGGTTTCGTGCGTTGGTTTTTTACGCCAAACGGTCAAGGATGCTCCTCGATGGTCCTCGCCGAAAAAAAATGCACACGTCCGAGCGATGCCAAGCCCACCGAGACGGTCGGTCCAAGAGGGCCCCGAGTCGCCGAACCGTCGCCCCGACGGCCCCCAAACGGCCCAAGAGGCCTCCAAGACAACCTGAGAGGCCTCCAAAAAGGCCTCCCCAGGGGGCCTCAAGAGGCCAAAAGCATGTACAGTCATCGGCCTGACCTAAGGAACGATAAATAAGGAACGAAGCCCCTGTTTTCCAAGGAAAAAAGCATAAGGAACGATAAATAATGAAAAACGCATAAGGAAGGAGACGTAACGCATGCAAGCCTTAAGGAACGACCGAGCTCCTTTTGAAAAGTAAGTGTTCCTTACTCAAGCCGCTCACTGTATTCCCCAAACATGGTTTTGAATGATTTTGGCGTTCTCGCCGTTCTGGCTTCCCGACGCTCCCAGACGGCCCTGGAAGCCCCCAAGACCGCCCCCTAGAGCGCCCAAGAGGCCTCCAAGAGGGCCCCAAACCAGCCCAAGGGGGCCCCAAGACGGCCCAAGAGGCGCTCAAATCGGCCCAAGAAGGCCCCAAGACGGCCCCAAAAGGGGCCCAAGAGAGGGAACATGAACCGAAAGTCCCAGCCTTCCGCCCCAAGAGACCCTCAGGAGGCCCCGCAGGGCCCAAAGAGGCACCAAGAGGCCTCAATCGGCCCCCAAGAAGAGGCCCCCGAGAGGCCTCCCACGAGATCCCAACGAACAACCATTAGGCTTCATACCCACAGCCCAGGCACGGTGGCGCGATGGGCCGAAGGCCATTAATAACATCCGCCGTCCCCTGTCGATTCATCACAGGGGTGCCTGGCGTGCTAGACCCTCTCGGTTTTGATTTTGGTTCTTTTTCCCAAAGAACTCCCCCTGGGCCTTCGGCGCGTCCCGCCGGGGTCCCGGGAAGCTCTTCCAGCCTATTCTGGAGGTTGCCGTGGGTTTTCCTGCCCCAGACGGCTCCAAGATGGCCCAAGATGGCCTCCAAGATGCTTCCAAGACGGCCAAGATGGCTTCCAAGACGGCTACGATGGCCCCAAGATGCCTCCAAGACGGCCCCAAATGCACCCAGGACGGCCTAAGATGGCCTCAAGATGGCCCAAGACGGCCCAAGAGGCTCCCCAGAGGTCATCCAAGACGGCCCAAGGGGCCTCCAAGAGGTCCTCCAGGAGGGCCTCCAAGAGGCCCCTAAGATCGCCCCCACAGCGCCCAAGAGGCCTCCAAGATGGCCTCAGGACTGCCTAAGAGGCCCCCAAAACAGCCCCAAGAGGGCACAAAGACGGCCCAAGAGGCCTCCAAGACGCCCAAGATGGTCTCTAAGACGGCCCTGGAGCACCCCAAGAGGGCCCCAAGTCGGCCCAGAAAGGCTCCCCGAAGTTGGCTCGAAGCTGGCCCAAGACGGCCCAAGAGGCCTCCAAGAGGGCCTCCAGGAAGGCTAGAAAAAGGCAAACAACGCTGATGTTCCGTCGGTTTTCGAAGGATTTTGACATTTCCTTCGTTTCGGCCTTCCGACGGCCCGATACGGCCCAAGAGCCCCCAAAGATCGCCCAAAGATCGCCCAAGAGGCCTCCAAGATGGCCCCAGAACGTCACTAGAGGCCCCCAAGACGGCCTCAAGAGGCCCCCAAGACGGCCCAGGAGGCCTTTTAAGACGCCCAAGGTGGCCTTCAAGACGGCCCTGGAGCATTCCAAGAGGGCCCCAAGTCGGCTCAGAGAGGCCCCCCAAAGGGCTTTCGGCGGCGTCGGACGGGCCAGGGGCCCACCAAGACGGCCGAAGATGGCCCTAAGATGGCCCTAGACGGCCCAAGAGGCCTCCAGGAGGGCCTCCAGGAAGGCCCGAAAAGGCAGGCAAACAGTATTGATTTCCCATGAGTTTTTGAAGGGTTGCAGCATTTGCTTTTTTTCTGCCTTCCGACGGCCCGAGACGGCCCAAGTGCCCCAAAAAGATCGTCCAAGAGGCCCAAGACGGCCCCAAGAGGCCCCCAAGACGGCCCAAGAGGCCTCCAAGACGCTCAAGATGGCCTTCAAGACGGCCCAAGAGCCCTCCAAGACGTCCTCCAAGAAGGCCCGAAAGGGTCAAAATGGCCTCCAGGCGGCCAAGATGACTGTCAAGATGCC